GATGTCGAAGAGCGTACTGCCTATGTTTTCTTCTAGAACTTTCACAGTTTCAGGTCTTACATTCAAGTCTTTAATCCATTTGGAGTTAATTTTTGTTTCTGGATTTCTGTGAGGGCATTTCAGAACAGGAACATCTGCTCAGTTATGTTCAGGCCCCACAAGAGCGAGGTAAGGGAGATATCAGCCCTGCAGGAAGTGGGAACCCATCTGGGAAGTTCCTCAAGACAATATCAACCAAATATCAGAAGGGGCAAAGGGGCTGGCTAAGGCAGAGTGTTCTAAGTGGCACCATCTTGTCTGGGAGTCCACCATCCTGTCCCCAGCCCACTGAGCCAGACAGCCTGCAGGTGCCCCTAAAATCCTATTCCACAAACCACATATAAACCTGACAACATGGAGAGAGTTCTGGGGCAAGAGGACATCTGTTTTGGTTTGCTTTGCTTGGATGGATTGTCATCATTTTGCTGTAAATAAGTTCACGCCCCTCCAGGGTTGACAGGTGCTCCTGGGTGAGGAGGGGCTGCCCTTGGTGTCTGAGGGGCCCTAGGATGCCCCAGGCTGGAGGGCTGTAGTCATCCCCAGGAGGTCAGCTCGCCTCCTTTCAGGACACTGTCTGTAGCTAGAACCTCAGAACAGCCAGCATGAGTTCTGCCAACTCACAGAACACTCCCCAAGGTGGATGAGGGTGGCTTCCTGCCATCCCATTGTGCCGGGAGGTCAGGGACTGCCCAGGGCCTCTCAGCCAGATTCATACCCTCATCTTACCAGAGTCTCGCCTGACCCTGGCAGCCCCCACACCTCCCAATGTTGAGGGGCCTGGATGGTGCCCAGCTGGTGGAGTACGTGTGTTGGGATGAGGTGTCAAGGAGGGTGTCTGCAGCAGGGAAAGCGGGTGGGCTCCAGACCCTTTAGCCAGACCTGGACCTTAACCTCCACCAGCCTCCTGAGGCCACCCTGGTGCCCTGAGCTAGTCACTTAGTTGGCGGCTTGGGCTTCCTCATCTGTGAACCAGGCACAGTAACAGGGTTTGCCTAAAACCCGGTGAGCTCTGGTCTTGACCTTTTGAGGTATGGGTAGGGTGGCTGAGTGCCTGTGTGACCATGAGGCAGGGCCCAGTGCTGGATATGGCACCCAGGGGTTAGGGTGGGCCCTGGGCGCAGAGGGGCAGTGGTGGCGACAGCAGGGAAGTTGCAGCAAGTCGTGCAGGGGTGGACTCAGGCCAGAGAAGAGGCCAAGGCTAAGGTACCTGGGGACAGGGGTGCAGTGGAACTTGCTCTGGCCGCAGCACCATGGCAGAGTATCTCGGTGCAGGGGTGGGACCTGGGACCCGGGACCCAGGGTCCAGGGAGCCCCCATTCCTGGCAGGGTGTACTGATACACCAGCCTGGTGGGGTGGGGGCTGGGGGTATGAATGCCTCAGTCTGAGGCCAGGTGGCCACCTGGGCATAGCCTAGGGCCACAACATCACTCCTGTTCTGCTTCCTGGAGGCCTGGCCCAGCTCCGAGGTAGCCTCAGGTTTCCACCCTGCTATGGGATCCCAGACCACTGGAGGGGTTCCTAGCCAGGCTCCCTGGGGCTGCCCTCTTTCCCCGCTCAGGGACCCTCCCAAACATGCCCTGATCCGGTTCCCCTAGGCTCCCTCCCTCGCCCGGGAGGCAGGCCGAAGCGGTCCCCATGCTTCCCTGTGAACCTCCTGCCCACCCTACTGGCAGGCCCTGACCCTGCCTCATCCAGCCCTCCAGCTGGCCAGTGGTTCCAGGCTTGGGTCCCCAGGGCAGGGTCAGAGCAAGGACCAAATGGTGGTTAGGACCCAGCTGGGCATCCTGTCACTCCTTCTGGCCCTTGTAGGTGCCGGTAGCTGGCTTGGTGCTCCTCTCAGCTGCCCACCATGGCCTGGGGGCTGCCCAGCACCGCCAGCCTGGTGCGCTTCTGCCAGAAGCTGAAGCAGCTGAAGACACTGGAGGAGTCCACCAGGGAGACGGCACTGCAGCGCCACCTGACCACATGGGACCTGACCCTGCTGGGTGTGGGTGCCATGATGGGCTTCGGCCTCTATGTGCTCACAGGCATTGTGGCCAAGGAGATGGCCGGCCCTGCAGTGGTTGTGTCCTTCAGCGTGGCTGCCGTGGCCTCCCTGCTGGCAGCCCTATGCTATGCGGAGTTCGGGGCACGTGTGCCCGGCAGGGGCTCTGCCTACCTGTTCACCTACGTCTCCATGGGTGAGCTGTTGGCCTTCCTCGTTGGCTGGATCATGCTCCTCTGGTGCCTCATTGGTGGCGCCGCCACGGCCCGTGCCTGCAGCAGCTACCTGGACTCCACTTTCAGCCACCGTATCCGCAGCTTCACCGAGTCCCATGTGGGCATCTGGCAGGTGCCCTTCCTGGCCCAGTACCCAGACTTCTTGGCTGCTGGCATCACACTTTTGGCCTCCGCATTCATCTCCTGTGGAGCCCGCGTCACTTCCTGGCTCAGCCACACCTTACCTGCCATCAACCTGGTCGTCATCCTCTTCATCGTCATCCTGGGGTGTGTCCTGGCCCGCCCGCACAACTGGAGCACTGAAGAGGGCGGCTTTGCACCCTTTGGCTTCTCTGGCATCATGGCTGGTGCCGCCACCTGCTTCAATGCCTTCCTGGGCTTTGATGTCATTGCCACCTACAACGAGGAGGCCCAGAACCCAAAGCGAGCCGTGCCTATGGCCATCGCCATCTCACTTGGCCTGGTGGCTGGCGCCTACATCCTCATCTCCACTGTGCTCACCCTCGTGGTGCCCTGGCACAGCTTGGAGCCTTTCTGGGCGCTTGCTGATGCCTTCTACCAGCGGGGCTATAGCTGGGCGGGCTTCATCGTGATGGCTGGCGCAATCTGTGGTAAGGGGCCCTTCCAGGCAAGGTGGGAGAGGTCAGGGCGGTGGGGCCGTGTCCTAAGCCTCCCAGGGAACACATCTCCATCTGGGCCTGTGTTCTAGTTGCATCTTGGGTCCACTGGGCCTGTCATCTAAACTGGGCTGTCCCATTCCTGGGTGGTGAGGGGGAACAATCCAGCACCCCACATATACTTGGGCTCACTCTGAGAGCCCAGACAAACTCATGCCCATGTTCCCAAGGGGCCACCCCTGCCCTGGCCCCCAGCAGTGGCCCCTGGAGGGCCTGTCCACCATGCTGACCAGTCTCCCACCCTCTGCCACAGCCATGACCACTGTCCTGCTCGGCTACCTCTTTGCCCTGCGAATCATGGCCTGTGCCATGGCCACCGACGGGCTCTTCTTCCAAGTGTTTGCTGACATGCACACCCAGATGCAGGTGACCATGGTGGGCATCCTGGTGTTTGGGGTCATCATGGCTCTCCTGGCACTGCTGCTGGACTTTGAGGCACTGGTCCAGTTTGTGTCCATCAGCGCGCTGCTGACCTACACCTTTGTGGCCACCAGCATCATTGTGCTACGCTTCCAAAAGCCCCCTCCATCCAGCTCCATGGGCCCAGTCAGCCCTGTGGGCACAGAGCAGGCCTCAGCCTCTGAGCCCGGGCAGCTGCGACCAGCCCTGAGGCCCTACCTCGGCTTCCTGGGTGGGTGCTGGCCTGGAGCCACTGTGGCTTGGGCACTCGGTGTCCTGGTGGCCTCAGCCATCACTCTGGACTGCGTGCTGGTCTTCGGGGACTCGGCCCTGCACCTCCCGCTCTGGGGCTACACCCTGCTGCTCCTGCTCAGCTCCGTCATGTTTCTGCTCAGTCTCCTCGTCCTGGGGGCCCACCAGCAACAGCGCCGGCAGGACACCTTCCAGGTACTTCCTCCAGCCAACCCCCCTCACTCTCAGCCCAGCCAGCTCCCCTCGCCCCTTCCTCCTCTGCCGTGGCAGGGTGCACCAGGGCTCACAGGGTGGGGGAGGCCAGTCCCCCATTCCCCTCTTTCTGCATGGCGAGTGGGCCCTTGTCTCCACTATCTCCAGAGGTGGAGAAGGCTTTGTGGACTCCCGAGAAATCAGGCCCTGGGCCAGCAGACCTTCCCACAGCCCAGCCCAGCCCTGCCCTTGTCCCCTCAGGTTCCCCTGGTACCGCTGACTCCAGCCCTGAGCATCCTCCTCAACATCTTCCTCATGCTGCAGCTGAGCTCCCTGACCTGGCTGCGCTTCTCCATCTGGCTGCTGATTGGTGAGTGGGGGCCAGGCTGGGACCCGGGTGGGCTGCAGGAGGAGGGCAAGCAGGGAAGCAGGGCTGGGACCTGCCTCTCAGGCTTGTGCCACCCTTGCAGGACTCGCGGTGTATTTTGGCTACGGCATCCGGCACAGCAAGGAGAGCCAGCGGGAGCGGCCGGGGCTGACTGCCCCACGCGGCAGCCTGGAGGAGACGGTGCAGGCCCTGCAGCCCCTCAGCCAGACACCTGTCCAGAAGCCCGGACACGCAGAGCAGCCCACCAGTCCATGAGGACACCTGGGAGCCTACCCTCCCTCCCCCACCACCTCAGGAGACTGGAGAGGCCAGCAGCCCCTGCTGTCTGGGGCAGCTCAGGTTTGCAGGCCTGCCCATGCTGGGGGGTCCTCAGGACCACAAGACCTTAACCCAGATGCTCAGCTTCGAGTCCTTGGGAGTGGGCCATGGCCAGCACTGGTGTGGTGGACTCTTTGCCCAGTGCCTTCCAGTTTATGACCAACTCCAGCTACCTGGGCAGGTGGAGTAGGGCCGGCAGGGAAGAGGCCCAGAGCCCCAGGGATTCACAATAATAACTGCTGGGCCGGCCATGTACTCTGCTGCCATATCTACTGTGTGTCTTTGTGGCGCTGAGTCCTCACTGCCTCCGGGAACCAGTTGATTGTCCTCAATCCACAGCAAAGATGCCGAGGTTCTGTAAGGGGGAGGCACCAGCCCTGGGAGAGCCCTGAGTCAGGGACACGGCCATGCCTGGGTCCCGGGGTCCTGCCTTCAGGTCAGGGCCCTCTGTCCAGCTCAGAGTGGAGTCCCTGACAGGACACAGAATGGTCTCTGGCAGGACAGGGCCAGGCTCCCTCCCAGGCTCCCCACGTGTCCCCTTAGGGGTTGATCCAGAGAGTGTAGCCTGGACCCCAAGGAGGCTGCCTAGAAAGGGCAGTGGAGTTCCGGGGTTCCCTCAGTTTCCCAGGGCTCCCGGAGAGCAGGGCATGGGCCTGAGACCTGCCCCGGGATATAGAGACCCACCTGCCGGGGTAACACACATCTCTCAGGCATAGGCCCACACGGCTCCCCTGGGGGTGCACACCCACGTGCAGACTGAGGCACAGCTGGTTCCAAGCTCAGGGCTGCCCGCAGCTCCCCAGCTGCCTCTCTCCCTGCCCGCCCCTCAGGGCTTTGTGATAAAGGCTCGAAATGGGACACACGCGTGCAGGTGGGGGCACAAGTGCCTGGGCCTCTCCAGGTACCTTCCAGCCCATCTGGTGGCAGTGGGGCCCCATCTTTGGGGGTCCCCAGGCCCACCCTGCACCTCCCCTGGTCTCCTCAAGGCCATGCTAAGTCCACCATAGACGCCCCCCGCTCCCCGTTCCTGCCTGTAAGGGCCACCCAGGAAGCTGCTGGCTCTGGCAGCTTTACTCCTCGGCTCTCTGCAGCCCTGACCTCAGCTTTCTCTGGGCCCCAAGGACAACCAGGTACCCGTGACCCCGTTCCAATGACCAGGCTCAGGGCCCTGTTCTCTCACCCTGGCCCTTCTGAACCCGCCTCCCATGGACACGGCTCTGGGGATTGAGAGGAGCAGGGACCCCAAGGCTTTGCTGAGGCTCCAGGTGCCAGATGATTCCACATGCTGCCCAGCCTGAGCCCCAGCCCTGGCCCTCCCCAACCTGGCCCATGTCCCTCCACCAGCAAGCTGCCACCATGCCCCTGGTCACCAGGGACCCATGAGAAGGCAGCCCCTTGTTTCCCTGGGGTGGGTACCCCCAAATTCCTGCCCCTCCTTGGGACCAAGAGAGGGCTTGGATCCTGTAGCCCTGTGCCTCCCCTCCTGATCCTGGGCCCGGGGGCACGGGGAAATTCTCCAGCAGACAGGACTCAGGCCCCCGGGAGGATTCCAGAGACAGAACCAGGCCAGCCTGTGGGGGCTTCCATGTCCTCTGTTAGGGACATTCTTTCCAGCCCCTGGGCTCCACCTGGGGTCTTGGTCAAAGCGTGGTCCTTGTACAGTTGCCTCAGGCTGGGTGGGCAGCTGCCCAGACACATTCTCAGGTGTGACCTTAGGCAGCAGTGACACAGGTGTCCAGATATAAAGCCTCCCCACCCCAGGGCTCCCAGGAAGCCCGGTGAGCAGGTTCCAGGGTTTTGGGCTGGAGGTCACCAAGGAGACATATAGAAGATCCCACAGGACCCCATGCCCACCAACTCAGCCCCTCTGCCCTCCTCCCCATCCCAGCCCCCCACAGCCTGGGGGCTGCCACCAGGAAGGGGCTGGTGCTCGCAAGCTGAGCAGGTTTGGGCCCAAGAGGTGCCTGTGCCCTTGCCTGGGGTCCTAGGGGATCAGATCTCTGCCCACCACACTCCTCACTACATGGGTGAGGCCCAGAGCTGGGAGGGGACCTGCCCTAGGAACCCAGCCTCAGAGCAGCAGAGACAACTCCTTTTATCAGGCTTCTTTCTCCTTTGCCTTGGACTCTGGCTGCTGAGAGAGTAAGGGCTCTACCGTGAGGGGAGTGCTGGCAGGGAGAGAAGGGCTGGGAGCCAGGCAGGGCCGGAGTTGACCACAGCCAGTGTGGGGACAGCTGGTGAACGGGGAGCTGCTGGGAACACTGGAAACAGACTGGGAGACCGTTCTCCAGACCCAGACCCAGCAGGAGCCCCACTGGACCAGTGCCCTGCATCATGTTCCCCTGTAGGTCTCTGTACAAAACTGGCTTCTGTGGTCCCCAGGCAGCACCCTGCTGAGGCTGGAGTTGGGGGAGGACAGTCTGCCTGGGAGCTGAAGGGTGGAGTTCTCCCGCAACCCCCTATCCTGGTCCTGCTAGGGCTTCATCCAAGAGTCCCCAAAGCAGGGCCCCTACCCTTCCCAGTCCTGAACCCCTAAGCATCAGAGAAAGGCCACAGGCCTCAGGAATGGGCCAGCGAGTGGGTGCTGGGGCCACCCTGGTGACGGTGTCCAGCTCCCAGCAGCAGCAGTAGGTGCAGGTGCTGGACCCCCTCTGAGGCACCTGGGCAGCCGGATGTGGGAGTGGGGAAGCCGGCTCTGTCTGCTCAGGGTTGGCAGTGCCCTTCAGGGCCTTTGCCTGCAGATGAGGACAGCAGGCCTGGGCTCCAGCCACCATCCTCCAAAGTGTAGCCCAGGGTCCAGGCAGGCCCGCAGCTCCTCTCCTCAGACTTGGTCCTCCAACAGAAATGGGCTTCTCCATCCACATATGACAGTGGCAGGTCACAGAAGAAGGTGATCTGGGAGAGGAAGGGCAGACCCATGTCCTAGCCCCCAACCTGCCATCCCGCTGCCTCCCCAGCCCTCACCCCTAGACTCACATCAGCACAGGGGGCTCGGGTGTGCACTCGGGGGCCACGTGCTTGCTGGCAGCCAGAGGGAGCCACGTTGGCCAGACTCACCACACCCAGCCAAGCCACTCCAGTGCCCAGAGTGAGGGTTGTGGGGATGAGCCCAAACTTTCCTGCCTGAGACAGACCTGGGCTGAGCCTCTCTGGCTGTGGCTGTCACCACCTCCCACCCTGCACCCCTACCCACCCCAGCCTGGCCCCTACCTGCCCAGTGACAAGGATGTTGAAGAGGATCCCGTAGAGCTTGAGCAGGCTCCGCGCCTCCAATCCTGAGGCCTCCCACCAGTGAGCGGCTGTCCTGGGGGCAGGAGAGAGTCTAGTGGCCTGCTCTGCCCACTCCTGGGCTGGGCTGGCCCTCACAGGCCTGGTCTTACTCATCCCTTGACTCCATCCACCCCCAGCCCGAGTCCTGGGTCTCAGCCCTATGTCATTGCTGAGGACACAGGGGACAAGCAAGCTGGGACCTGCCTCTCAGAAGCTCCCTGCCTGCTGAGGGGATGGGGACAGAAGGGTCCCTAAACAAGACACCAGCAGTGGGGGTGGGGGGGTGGGCGAGGTGGAGGCAGGCCTGGGACTGTGAGGGTCCAGAGAGGGGCACTCACTCTCCCCTAGGAACCATGGAAGGCTTCCTGCCAGGAGACTCTCAGGCTGGTTTCCCAGGGGTCAGGAAGGAGTTCTAGGCAGAGACATAGGGCGGGCGAGAGCACAGGGTGAGGGGAGCAGGCTGTGGGCGGGGTCCAGCCCCACATGGTTGCAAAGGGCTGAGGAGGTCAGCGACACCAGGCCAGGCCAGGCCCAGTGAGCAGTGTCAGGGGGCATCACCTCCAGGCCTGGTGGCTGTGTACACGTATGCATGAGGGTGACGAGGTGACATGAGGTGACAGGAGAATGGAGGTTCTGCTTAGGAGACTCAAAGACAGGACAGTACCTGCAACACAAGATCCTTGAGTGCATCCTGGATTGGAAAATAAAAAGATTTAGGCCTATTATTGGCACAGATGGGGAAATTTACATATTAGATTTATCTGCCAATGTTAGATTTCCTGAGTCTGACAGGAGGCCAGTGGTCACCTAGGGAAGGTCCTCATTCTCAGGACAGTGTCGAGAAGGTGAGTGTCTGGATATCTGCCACTTACTTTCAAGGGTTTCCTGTGAAATCTATCTATGTATATCCAGCTCACTCAAGAGAGGAAGGGAGAGAGCAAATGGGGCAAAATGGTAAGAAGAAAAAAATCTGGTGAACCCAGATGAAGGCTATATGGGTTTTCAAGGTACTAATATTTGATGTTTTCTATAGACTCTTGTAATTTTTTATATAAAACCTCAAGGGAAAAGTAAAGAGAGCTCCTTGTGCCGTGGTCGGAGATGCTGGAGGCAGGGTGGAGTGGAGGAGTGGCTGAGGGTCCCAGCTGCAGCAGGGGTGTGGGGGGACACACAGGGTGGAGGACAAAGGGCTCAGGAGGGAGCTGGACGGAGCCTGTGCTGGGGGACCTGGAGCTGAGAGCCCCCCCTCCTGCCCTGGGGACCCCTCCACACACAGCAGAGCGTCCAGAGGGCTGGGCCAGGCTGGGGTCTGTCCTGGCCGCCACAGGAGGACGGGTGGAGGGGCACCTGGCTGAGGAGCAGCAGGCGGGCAGTGGGGCCGCACCTGAAGTCACAGCTCCTCTCCTGCAGCTGAAAGGAGTAGTGGGGCCACAGTCGGAGCCCCGGGCGTCCAGGTCACAATCCCAGTTGACGTGGATGCCCACAGCCCTGCCCTGCACACAGCGCATCACTGCTCCATCAGCACACGGGCAGGGACCCTCTCCCCGAGCCCTCCTGGAACCCTGTTCCCCACACAGACATACCAGCAATGCCAGGTCCTCATAGACCCCTCCAGCCGCAGCCACAAGGTCCCCGATGTGGAACACAGGGGGACTGAAGCCTGGGTCAGCCCCAGCAGTGGGGCTGAAGCCTGGGTCACAGCGGCAACGCTTGAAATAGGTGGCTCCCAGGTCTCCGAGGCATTGGACCTGGGAGGGGGTGAGGCCCAGGGGTCGGGCCAGGCAGGGGACAAGGAGGATCTGGGGCAGCCAGGACCCACCATGATCTCCTGGAGAAGTTGAACTTGCTGAAGGTGACAGTGTTTTGATGAACAGCATGAGGTTCTCAGCCTGGAGCAGCAGGGGCTTCCTGCAGGTGGGGGAGGTAAGGGGCAGCCTCTGCTGGTCCTGGGACCTGCCTTGGGTGTCGGGGACACTTACACGGGCACAGTATCGCTCTCCACGGGGCACCAGCCCCGGATCTCACAGGTCCTGTGGGTCCCGTTGAACTCCACACACTGGCCCGTTTTTATGTCTTGAAAACACAAGACAAACTCCAGGCCCTAAAATCTGCACAGGGCCTGGGAGGGGAGTGGGCAGGGGGCTGTTGGCAGAAAGAGATGCAGAGGCACCACCAGGTGTGCACGAGGGAGCCACCCAGGGTCCCAGCATGGCCCCCTGAACCCCCTCCCAGTGGAGGCGCTGGAAGACAGGCCCACAGTTACCGTGGCTGTGCGTCCCCGTCTCCCCTTCAGGACAGTCCTCGTCAGCCCAGCGGTTCACAGTGGGATGGAGGGTGCTGAGGCGGTGAGAGAGCAGAGTTGTCTAGGCCCAGGAGGCATCTCCCCTTCATGACCCAGCCCTGCAGTCCACAGGGACGTGCCCCTCCCCTGCTTAGCCCCCAGGGTTCCCTGAGTTTGGGGGCACATGGGAAAGCTGGAGGGTGCAAATAAAAGGAGGTGGTCAGAGGGAGAGGGCGAGCAGACCCCCAGTCAGATCGGGGTGCGGTGCTGCATCCCAAGGCAGAGCGAGACTCCTTCCCTCCTGAGAGTTCTCTCCCCGGTGGGGGCAGTAGTGACTCCTCGAGGCCCAGCTCCTCTGGTCCAATTTGGAGAACAGAATAGGGAAGGTGGAGGGACTCTGGGAGGGTAAGTTCAAGCCAGGGTGGAGATGCTGGATGTGGCAGACAAAGGGCGGGACCCTCCTCAGAGGGGCCTGTAGGGAAGTGGGACCCCACACACTGGCCAAGGGACCACAGGCCAGTCCCTTGCTGGCTTGTTCTGCTGTGAAACAGGGACATTAGTGCCTGCACACGGTCACAGAGTTCTGGGCATCAGCCAGGAGGGGATGGTGGTAAGAGTTCTGGGAGTCCCTGACCTGGAGAGGAAGCACCCTCAAGCGTCAGGCACTCGCACAGACATGGATCTACCAGGCAGAGGGTCGACCCGCTGTCCAGGGTCCTGAGTTCAGGGGCCAGAGGAGGAACACAGCACCAGGGTGGCAGGAAGGGCTGGGGTTTCTGAGAAGCCAAATGAGATGGTGGGATTTGGTGGGGGCTGGGACTGTGAGAAGTGGACAGAGGACCGCATGGGGCCACCTGCATGCCTCGCTGTCCCTACCTATGTCCTGATTGTGTCCCTCTTATCCACCCAGGGTTGGCCATGATCTCCTCTGACCAGACCCCATGGTGACCACCATGGGGCCCCACCTCTGCCCTCATGCACCTCCCTCCAGCAGCCGGAGTGGCCCATCCCAATGCACAGACGATCAAGCGCCCCTCCCCTGAGCCCATCTGTGGCTCCTGCCGCTGCCGTCTCCAGTTCAGCTCCTTAGAGGGGCTCCCAGGCCCCTGTGATCTGGCGCTACCCCCTTCCTGCCCCAGTCCAAATCTAGGCTCCACCCCACTCAGCAGCAGGGAACCCTGGAGGTGCCTCCTCTCACACAGTTGGCGCCTTTGGCCACGCAGCCCCTCTGCCTGGACATCCTCTAGATCCCACTCAGCCTCCCATCCTGCAGGAAACCCTTCCTGAGGCCCCGGGTTGGCTGACATGCCTCCCTGGGTCTCCCAGCTGCAGCTTCTGCCCCATCGCAGGCCCTGCCACCCTGGCCGGGCTGTGTGTGCAGGAGCTCTGGGAGGTGGGGAGGGTGGAGTTCTGCAAGCCTGGTCTGGGGGACGCTTGGCAGGTGTTTGCTGGAGGCTGTGACACTACAAGGAGCACAGAGCATGTGCTGGGAGGGACCAGATGACCAGGACCCTAAGAGGAGCTGGC